GCGCCGGCCCCAGGTGCGGCGGGCAGGAGCCTCGCAGATGCGCGATTTCAAGATCCAAGATGCCGCTGTTCTGCGCGTCGGGAATGGCCCCGGCCAGCCCGCGGGGCCGGGCATTTAAACCGCGCGCAAACGCGTCTCTTCCCCTCCATTTACGGCTCTGATCCAAGGACAAAGTTTGGGCTGAAGCACATCGCACAGAACGAATCTCAATGAACGAGCCCGTGAAGGGGCTGTTCAATCATCTCTTTTGCCAGGAGACGGTTTTAGATGCCTGATTATCGGCTTCCCCGGAGTCCTAAGAAAGCGTGCGTGATCGTTTCTCGCCTTGCGGCCGGTAGACGTGACAACTTCAAGACGGCAGGTGTTGGAAAAGGCTGTGCTGACTTATATATAGGAGACTCGGAGCATCTGGAGTCCGAAGGCATCGGGCGGAAAACGGCCGAGTTCATAGTGCTGACGGGAAATGCCGGGTCATCCCTCCGCAGCCCAGCGAGTCCAGAGCTCTCGGCTGCTGGTGCTGGAAATTTCACCGTGAGAGATATTGATTGATTCCTCTGGGCTTGGACGAGCCTCTATTAAAATGCAAATTCCTCTTGAAGGGGCAATAGCTCCAGCCTTTATCAGCCAACACCTTAGCAGGGATGGGATTTATTTTCCGATTTAATGGGACGGCTGAGGGATGAAGGTGGGGGTGGGGATTCCGCAGATAAAGAGGTTGACCGTGAACCGCGAAACGCTGGCCTGTGGCCAGAGCAGCGTCTTCCGTTTCATCTGCAACCGGGCCGAGCCTCCCCGCGTCACTCACGGCCCAGGAGCACGCGTTCGAGTTTCCCGCAGAGGTTCTGTCTAGAATCCACAGGGCAGCACGTTGGGAGGCCTGGAACGCTGCCCAAGCGACATGCCGGAGGCTGGGAGCTCAGGGCCCACTGCGGCCACCTCGCTCGTGCGCTCATTTATTGACACCTCCAGCGAAAGTTCGCGAAGGGCTCTGCAAGGACCAGGCTCTCTGCACGTCGGTGATCAAAACAGTCAAGCCCCTGCCTCGGTCCAAAGAGAAAAGCAGGCAACACGCGTGACAAATAAACCAATCGCGCACGGTGTGCCGGCATCGCGCGGCATTCAAAACCACGTGAACGACGCCGGGGCCACGAGGATGAGCCAAACCGGACGAGCCTCTCGCCCGCGGAGCGGCCGGTCTCACCGAGGGGCGGCGGCCCTCTGATGATCGCCCCGAGGCCGGCTGCAAACAGGCCCAGCGTGGCGCAGGGTCCTCTCTGCTGCCAAAGGCACAAAGGGAGCTTTGGGGGGTGGGGGGGATCCTGACTACACACGGAACAGGGGTTGAGGGGCGCCCAAGCGAATGTGGGGTTCGGGTTCCGCTGCTGTCATCCTGGCCAGAGGTGACAGCGTTTGGGATCAAGGCAGAGACGGAGGAGGTATCCAGAATTGGATGGACTGGGGAGACGGCCGGGTGGTGTCGCTCATGAATTGGATGGGGACTGAAAACACGGGGGTGCGAGCCGACACTCCGCGGGTGCGGGAGGGGGCCCTGAACGTTGGAGGGAAACCTCCGGCGACCCCCGTTTGCGCGCTCCACATGCTTCCGGCTCCTTCCATGCGGGCGGCAGGGCAGGGACCCGGTGCAGGGGGCTGGGGGAGCACCCTGCCTTCTCTGTGACATTGGGTTTGGGGGAAGAGGGAGAGACCAACCCAGGAATTAAAATCGCGTTGCCGTTTTAAAAATCAATTCCGTACTTTAAAGAATTTTAAAATGGTATCGTATTCAACGCAGTAGCCGCAGTTACATAGATAAACAGTTGGGATTTGGAAGTCTAAAGTGTATCAGCTTCATGAAAGCGAATCACAAAGGAGAGGGAGGACGCAAGATGGATGGAGGACAGATGGGGGACGGATGGGGACGGATGGGGACGGATGGGGACGGATGGGAGGATGACGGGAAGGAGGGACAGACGGAGGTCCGGAGGGGTTGGCTTAGCCGCGGCTCTGCCCGGACAACACGTGACCCTCTTTGCTCTTCAGAGTTTTTCTTTATAAAAGGCTTGTACACGTGTCCTAGGGTTATGGGGGATGCTCGGAGCCCCCTGGGACAAACCGATGCCAACTCTTCCTTCCCCCTGAGCAGATGAGACTGACGGAGTGGGCCACCACGCCTCGGCAAAGCACGGGGACGCAGCTGAGCCGTTTCTGAAAGGCAGGTGCAGGCCTACCGCGCCCAGGGAGCTGGGCCCCGCGGAGGCCTCACTTAGGGTGACCCTGGTTCAGCGTGTCCCTCTCCGTGGGGGACGAGAACTAAATCTGTCCCTTGGAGCCATCCGTAAGGATCTGTACCTCTCCACCTCTGGGAAAGCAGTAATCAGCAGTGAACCCCACTTCCGAGAACAGCAGGTCGCACGTTCCGCCGCAGGCAGCTAAGAGGCCAGATGAAATATTCCTTAAGTATCTTCTTAGAAATGTCAAAGAACTTTGGAGACGATGAGGGAACACGGGGCCCAGACCCCAGAGGAGGCAGAGTCCAGTAGGGACGGAGCCCCCCCCGGCAGCGTCCACCCTGGGCATCTGCATTTCTGACTCAGGCAGCCACACTGGGTTAGAAAAATGAGTCTTGAAGGCTGGGGACCCAGTACACCAGTCCCGTTTGTGATGGAACCCCAGATGGCTGTACCCCAGGACTAAGGGAATAACCCTGCCTGTCCTCTGGTCACCGAGGGCCAGAAACCCCAAACCCTAAATTTAGATTAGGGTCATCCTGCATTGCTCAGACCACGAGGAGCTGGCAAAGGCAATAGCCAGCCGCCCCTGGGGAGTCCGACCGTCATTCTAGGCCGCCGAGTATTTCCACAGAAAGCATTTTAAAGATCCCCCCGCTTTTAACTTCCTCAATATAATAAAGGGCATTTAAGAACAAGCACAGCTAACATCAGACTCAGTGGTGAAGGACTAAAAGCTTTTCCCCAAGATCAGGAATGAAACACTGAACTAGAAATTCTACCCGGAGCGGTTAGACGAGGCGGGCACGGAGCATCCAGGCCGGAAAGGAACAACCAGAACCATCTCTGTTTGCAGAGGATACGTCCTGCGTCTATACAAATCCCAGGGATTCCGCAAGAAAGACACTGGAGGCGGCAAGTTCAGCAACTTTGGACGATACAAGATCGATACACAGACCTTAGTGTATCAAACAATCCGGAAGGGAAGTTAATAAAACAATTCCAAGACCTAAAAAAATGGAAAGACACCACGTTCACGGGTAGGAAGACTATGTGAAGATGTAAACACCCGAAGTTGCAGATTCAGAGCAATTCCTATCGAAAAGAAAAAACAGGTAAACTGTACTTCACCAAAATTAAAAACTTTGGTGTGTCAAAGAACACTATCGAGAAAGTAAAATGATCAGCTGAGCTATAGAATGAGGAAGTATTTGCAAATCGTATCTATGACAAGGATTTAATATCCAGAATATATCAAGAACTCCGATAACTGAAAAACAAAACGGCAAACAACCCAATTTGAAAATGAGTCGACGACTTGAATAGACGTTTCTCCAAAGATACACAAATGACCAATGAGCAGATGCTAAGATGCTCACCGTCACTGCTTGGAGAGTATAATCAAAACCACAGTGTGATACCACTTGGCGTTCATTAGGATGGCTATTATCCAAAACACACAAAAAACACAAAAAACCAAAAAGGGAAATGTGGGCGAGGATATGGAGAAACTGAAGCCCTCGTCCACGGCTGGTGGGAATGTGAGTTGGTGCAGCCGCTATGGAAAGCAGTATAGAGGTGCCTCAGAAAATTCCACACAGAATTGTCATATCATCCGTAGGATCCGGCAGTCCCACTTCTGAGTATATGTGCCCCGAGGATCGAGAGCGAGGACTCAAAGAAAAGTCTGCACTCCCATGTCATTCATAGCGGCACCGATCACAACAGCCACAAGGCAGAAACGACTCACGTCCAACCACAGAGGAGCGGATGACGTGTGACATGTACACGCGCGCACGCACACACAATGGAATGTGACCCAATCTTAAAAAGCGGGACAATTCTGACACGGGCTACACTATGTATGAACCCGGAGGAGGTTATGCTCAGTGACACGAGCCAGTCGCAGAAGGACGAAGAGTACGTGCTTCCCCTTGCGCGAGGTACGCAGGGTAATCACGTTCGTGGGGGCAGAAAGCAGAAGGTTGGGTGTCAGGGGCTGGGGGAGGGGGAGGGGACCGTTCCCGCTGGGGAAGATGACAGATCTGTGGGCAGATGGCAGGGGCAGCCACACAGCCACGTGTGCTTAATGCCACAGAATTATAGTGGAAAATGGTTAAAATGGTCATTTTTTCAAGATGCATATTTTACAATAAGAAAAAAATATATTGAATTACCACTTCGTATCCACTTAGATGATGATGCTGATGATGATGATGTTGATAATAATAATAATGAAAACCTGTAAATAACGAGCGTTGGCAAAGGTGCAGGGAATCATAATAATCATCATCATCATAATAATAATAATGACAATAATGAAAACCTGTAAATAACAAGCATTGGCAAAGGCGCGGGGATCCAGGGCTCTGCCCCCGGCTGGTGGGCTGCGAACGGCCCAGCTGTCTGTCCCTCAA